GGTGTCAGTTTTGTTGCCAGAAAAAAGGGGAAAACCCCTATTAGTATCATTCAGACTGTTAACACAAGAGGCGAGTGGGCATGGGCAGGACCCGTCGTGAGAAGGGACGACAGCCGAAGGCCAAGAGTAGTGATTGGAGTGGCGGTCAAGGAGCAAAACGCGTCCAATGGGCGTGTCCACCGAGGAGACGAAGAGATAATGGTCGATCTTTATTCTACGTGCCAAATATCGCCCTCAATAAAGTAAGCATCGGTGCACATCGCAGCGGAACGGGAACGGTACAGGGGCCACGGAGCTACAGGAATGGCAAAAGAAACCCGCCATGACCTCTGCGGCTAGCAACGAGCGATGAAAGTGAATTGCAACCGCGCGCAAAATAAAGTGCAATAGCACGCAGCGAATAGCATAAGAAAGACGAGTAGTAAATGAACATAAATAAAATAAATGAGAAGTAAAGAGACCGTTTCTTTTTAAACATTGTTTGATTGTATGGGAAGGCAGGTCTGAGTAGGTGAGTCTTGCCCAGACCACGGAATTGAGAGACACTCGGTGCATTTCGGATGCCCGGTGGCAGGCAAGCGGGGAGCTCCAGATGTTTTGGGGCTGCGCACAAGAAGGCTTCGTCGGGTGAACAATCCCTGGGCTCTGCAAGCCTTTCTGTTCCCGTGGAACGGAGTGTGGTGTATGTGCCTGAGGTGTTGGGTGTTGGGTGTGCAAGTGTTGGGTGTGCAGGTGTTGGGTGTGCAGGTTCTGGGTGCATTGTTACATCGTGGGGTCACAGACGATGGTAGTGGTTCGAAAAAACCTTCATCCAGCAGTAGATTCATCACGTCTGATAATCATGACGCTGTGCTTATTGGTTTACGTTGACCTTATCCGTTGATATAATTATCCTCGCGAAAATTTTGAAAGGTTGAATGCAGCCGTGTAATTATGTACTGATTATGAAGCTAAACAATACGTGCATTGAATCACACGTGTAACAATGCACGTTTTTCACACTGAAATATTTGGTACGTGAAGGGTTCGCGTTTTCCCTGCAGCCACTGGAGGCCGCTACATTCAACTCAATGTTTAAAACGGGAATAAAACATTCCTCAATCACGTCGCGGCCCTGAAAAAAGGGAAGAATACATTCTTAAATGAAATTCCGACCCTGCGATCCGGACCATTCCGTTACCGACTGGGGGTGCGTTGGGGCGGGTGAATAGTTGCCTCGATAGTCGAAGGGCATTCATTCTTTTTAGTTGAACAAGACACGTCTCAGGACTCGTGACATTGTGTGTAATTGCCTATGCTGCTTAACATTAAAATAAAATCGATGGAGAACGCAGGCTTGGAGAATTGATCGCATGAAGAGTATACTTAATTTTGTTGCCATATTTATCCCTGAAGGGCACTGTGTGCACTACATTATAATTGGATAATTGGATCACGTGGGGTGGGGCGGTGGTGCGGCGGTTAGTGCACTGCACTTTTAACCTATGAGTTTCATTGCCGAGCACAGCTCACATCAGTGGCGATTGACACCTGAACCGATTCCTGGGCGCTCGCCCCTTTTCAGCAACCCACACAGGTCAGCGTGGTGAAGTGTGGTCAACCATTGCCCTCAACAGACATGGTTTTTGGAAGCATTCGTCCCTCGGTCGATTGACAAATGGCTGTCAATTATGAATAATTGGCAAGCGACTACGAATTGCGTAACATTTAAAATAAACCACGAGCACATATTGAATCTCGAATCAGTATTAAACTGCGCTGCTGCTGCTGTGATGCAACAGCTGGCACACTGGAACAGCAATTCGCTTGTCTCCGATTCAATATCCCAGTGCGGCAGTTGAATACATTGAGCAAGCTTCTTAAATCTCCTCGAATCTCTGTCCAGCCAACCGTATAAATGAGTACACCACTCATAATAAAGGCTCTCGGATTAGATCGCGTAAGTATAAATGCGTCGCAACCCTCCACCACTCGACACGGCCAATCAGTAAAATAATGTTAACAAAACGCCAATTAGTTACTTCTTCAGCCCACCGGTGTGTTTGAAGAGTGAATCCGCAACAATTTGAATTTGAGTACACCACTATTAGTCGATCGTCACGTTGCCTGCGGTGGGGCAAATGGTGCATTGGTACTCCCAAGATATCTGACCAGTGAGGAAGAGTAGGCCAAAACACCATCCACAGGAGCTCTCCAAAGCTCCCTCCAGTGAAGGCCCTTCTGCCAGCAGTGGAATGAGCAAGTCACTGCTCGCCTTTTTAGTTGCATCTGTAAGTATTAGCAGAGCTGGACGGCAAGAGGCACTTAATGTTTTGTAATTGGCCGTAGGGAATCGCTACCACTGGCAAGGCATGGCGATGGATGAAATGTTCCATGGGCTCACTATGTTAGCAACTGAAAAGCAAGCAATGCGCGCTGTGACCTCTGCTCCAGCGAATGCTTGTACTGCTCAAGGTCAAAGCGCACGGTGACAATGCCACTCAAAGCCACTTAATCCCAGAGCCTGCGACACGCCGGCCGTTCACATGGCTGTGGCATTGTGAGCAAATTCACAGAGCGGTGGCTGTGTAATCATTTTATGACCAGATTATACGTTTTCTTCTTTTATGTGTTCATATATGTAACGTTTTAAATCAATTTTTTTTTTATTCCGATTGTGCTGTCGATGTGATGTCGCACCTGCGTATTTGGAGTTTGTGTGTCTCTCGCCCCCCGTGGTGGCGTGGATTTTTCTAAGGGTCCTCCGGTTTTTGCCTCCACATTTATAGACGCACGCTTGCTTCAGAGTGTTTGGCCCCTATGCATTTCCACATGGTAAGCCACTTGGTTCAGCTTATCATTTGTGATAACCAGGTCGCTTCTCAAAAGCAGTTGTGTAGCTCAGTGGGCCTTACCTAGTAAAATAAAATATTAGTTCCGTTTAAATTTCGATTTAAAGCTTTCGTGACTGCAGGGATTCATCTTCTTGGTTCTTTCGGTAAAGTCACGTAGAATGGAAATAATAAAATAATAAAAATAAAACATAATAAAATAATTATCACGACGTTTCGGCCACAACGCAAGCAGCCGTCCTCAGGTGAAGAACAGGTCTGTCGGGAAGATAGAGTCTGAATGAAACACCCCAGGCTTGGAGCGTATATTTAAGCTGGGTTGGAGGGGGAAGAGCGCCTTGACAAAATAATTTGCATATCAAGAGGAATTTAGAATACTTATGGGAAATGCAGATATGGGATTAGTACTACTTGTGAAATGCGTATGAGGTGGGCGGGGGGTTTTTCAACCAACCCAGCTTAAATATACGCTCCAAGCCTGGGGTGTTTTATTCAAACTTTGTCTTCCTGACAGACCTGTTCTTCACCTGAGGATGGCTGCTTGCGTTGTGGCCGAAACGTCGTGAGAATTATTTTATTATGTTTTATTTTTTATTATTTCCCTTCTACGTGACTTTACCGAAAGAACCAAGAAGATAGTTTCGTTTAAATAGTTTATTTCACACCACTGCTTCTCCCAACAGCCACGACAATATCCTAAGGGAACCATCAAAGCCATAAATATCGCTGATAATTCACAGAGGGAATTATCAGAGGTGTAATAATTTATCAATTAATATGGATTCTTAAGCGCGCGGATAAATGCATGAACCGTGTTGTCGAAAAATTGACGTTTTTCAATTCGTACGTGTTTACGCTTGAGCCACATCAGCCACTCGAGGTTGCTACATTGACCACAGTGTCAAGGAATAGATTCTTGAAATAAATCTCAACAAATCATTGCATCGCAAGGGGAGTGAATAGTTGTGCCCTAGTAATTAGGTTGAAACTTCACGAGAACATGTTTTATTAATAGCAATTACAATACATTTTCGACAAACTCTTTAAAAGGGGAATAATTTTGCTGTCACACAGAGGCGCATGTTGTGATGGACAATAATTATGGTGAAAACAATGAGTTTCTGCCTTTGCTCCAGCAATACGCAAGAAGTGCACAACGGTATGACGCTTATAATTACCAGTTTCAAAATAACATTTCTGAGGTCCAGGCAGCTGCCCCAGTTTCTAAAGTGATTTCTCAAGTGTAGTGAGTTGATGGGTCCCATAAAAAAAACTCCGATCATATTAAATTTGGCTCTGCATCAAATTGCTTTAATTTACAACTGTAATAGGCAAATATATCGGTATCATAATCGGGATAAAGTTGGTGTAAAAGAGACAAAAAACGTCAAAGTAAATACCGTTGCTCTTGACTTTCTCTCCATTGCGCTTCAAAAGAAAGCGCGTCTCTCTAGGGCCAGCTGTCATCACAACCCTCCGTGCACAAGCGCTTGACGAAAGCACGGCACCGTCGCATTCCCAAAAACCCGTCTCAAACGGGACACATCTGAGGGCGTTCTCCAAAGGCGTCACGCGGACGAGGTGGTGATTAACACATACGAGGCCATTCTCCACACTCCCCCCACCACCACCACCCCCCGTCGTTTCCTTTGCTGGCAGATGTATGTGACGTGCATAGCAGACGACAGATTCTGTTGACGTGTTCCGTGCAAAAAAAGGGCCGAAAATAATTGGTTCCCCTAAACTTAAATTTCGATTTAAAGCTTTCGTGACTGCAGGGGATTCATCTTCTTGGTTCTTTCGGTAAAGTCACGTAGAAGGGAAATAATAAAATAATAAAAATTTAACATAATAAAATAATTCTCACGACGCAAGCAGCCGTCCTCAGGTGAAGAACAGGTCTGTCTTTTCACCTGAGGACGGCTGCTTGCGTTGTGGCCGAAACGTCGTGAGAATTATTTTATTATGTTTTATTTTTAATATTTTATTATTTCCCTTCTACGTGACTTTACCGAAAGAACCAAGAAGATGAATCCCTTAAACTTATCCGTAGTCACACGGAGCTGGAAGAAGCCTGACCAGAATTTTCCCCACGCAAATCCCCGTGAGGACGAACACCTCACCACGTGGTACAATCCCGGGCACTCGGGTGTGTCTCGTGAATCTCACCTGTTCCACCTTGATGTCGTATTCTCCGTGTATCTTCTTGCCTTTGAAGAACTTGGCCCTGCGAAAGGCAAGGACATGTAAAAGTGGATTAAAAAAAATAAAGTCACTTTAAAGCCACTGCTGGAGAATTTGAGAAGAAAGTTCACTGCCGAGTCCAAACTAACCCGGGGCATGAGGCAGTGAAGTCTCCCTGAAGATAAATATTTTAGTAAACGTAAATACATCTGGAGTACATTAATTCACGGCACGTAGCATTTTGATGGCAATACAATTTGTTTTCGTACTTATCGAACATTGTTATATTGATATTGAAATGGAAGCTCATTAATATCGTTGCCTTTTTGTAATTGTTGAGAAGCATCGAACGGAATCTGGTGCTTTGTAAAAATCTAGCCTTGAACAGGTAAAAATATGCACAACGACGCACTTAAAGATTATAATTTAATACGCCCTGAATGGATTCAATTATTGAAATAGATTGTTGCGCATATTATTCACGTATTGACTTGGCTTGTGCCTTTCACATTTACTTAGGGCTTCCGCAAGTTACACGCAGACAGAGAGCCAATGATAAATAAAACACACACACAACAAGGCGACGAAAACAATCGCATACACCGCACTTCATAGTTGTCATGTATGGACTTGAAATGCGAAAGAAAACAGAACGCCGACTTGACTGATTTTATAATTTAGCCGCTACACTTTACCTGCAACGTCTGCGCTATCACAGTTATTAAACCCCTGCAGGCTCCCGTTCTGTGCCATGGTGGGTGCATTTAATAATCCACGTGTAACAGTGTGGCACTTCGTGTCAATGGAGCACGGGGCCATGTGAGTCGGGGCCTACTGGCAGATACGGCCAAGGGAAAAATGTGGCTGTTTAATAATGGAAGCAAGGAAAATGAACTCAGGGCTTTGTTCAATGCATTAACACACGCTCACGATGTGCTTGCAAGGATTCTTGTGTTGACCCCTAACATTTTTGTACCTTTGCATATTAATTTAAGTTTTAAATAAACCTTACCATTAAGTTTTTTTTTAAATCGAATTAAATGGGGGTCACAAGACATCTTGGACCGCCCTGTGTACATCGGTGACACGCGTGTTGCCACGTGGTTTTTTTTGTGTTATCGCACTGGCCAAGGTCGGCGACTTTCCCAACGTGCGCCGTTGGGAGGAATAAAAAAGAAGGCACGAGCAGATTTTCCCGAGTATCTCAGAGGGATGAAAGGTTTGTGTGAGATTGCCAAGCCATCACCGGCTGGGATATTCCACGGATGAGGCCTGATCTGCCATCCGAGAAATGGAGTCTTTGTGTCTCAGTCACCGATGACTGCACAAAATAAATTATACATCTTTGAATACGGGTTTTTATGCTGTTTGGTCCAGCCTATCCCACTGTGAGCAGCTTGAAATAAAGAAATAAAGGCAGATAAATACATATATATAGAGGCACGCATAAATAAGACTTTCATTTATACAAAGAAGCTTCACTCACTGAGTCTCACGACTCTTTTTTTGGCAGCTCATGTCTCGGGATTACTGACCAATTCCAGACACTGAATTATTTGGTTTGTTGGACGGGAACCCAAGTGGTTGGAGAAACCCCACACACACGACGGAAACAATACTCAAAGCACCGCACCGCACCACACCACACCACACCGCACCACACCGCACGCACCACACCGCACGCACCGCACCACACCGCACCATCGCGGTACTGTACTGCCATTGTGTGACCACCTTTCAGCGCGGGCATACATTGCCTCGTCTATCCAGGCACTCTCCCATCCTAATAATGACCAGGCTCCAACCTGCTTAGCTTCCACGATCAGGCAGCAACGGGTGCATTTAAAGCCACGTTATCAACAGATTATGGAGTGGAACAACGATTTGCACAGTGTGAAGGAGTGAACTCGTGTGTGTGCCTTGTAGAAAATTGAGGGCACACCAAATAGGTTTGTTTTATGTCTCTTCTGGGGTCGTTTTTTTCCACTCGATCATATTTGGCTCAGCTGTTATAGGGAGTTCGGAACTGCGGCAGAAATGCTGAGCTTGTGTCTAAATCGCCGACGGCACCTTTAGGACATAATTCACATTCATAACATTGGGGTATTTTATTGATTCTCATAGAGAGACAAACGAGGCAGACAGTGCTTTAGTCAATATCTGTCCTCATTGTGTTTTGTCTAGGTAATGACGACCACGCAAAACATTTGCACAGACGCATATAAAAACAGAACTCCGTTCTGTATCTCCACACAATCATATAAATACGTTTAATATTCTTAGGTTTTTTCGGTAAAGTCACGTAGGTAAAAAATTTAAATAAAAATAAAATAAAAATCACGACGTTTCGGAGGCAACACAAGCTTCCGTCTTCAGGTGGAACCGTCACAGCCCGACAGCTGTATCAGGCTGTGACGGTTCCAGCTTGTCTTACCTACGTGACTTTACCGAAAAAACCTAAGAATATGAATCCTTGCAGTCACGAAAGCTTCAAATCTAGAAATAAATATTTTGATTTAAAGCTTTCGTGACTGCAGGGATTCATCTTCTTGGTTCTTTCGGTAAAGTCACGTAGAAGGGAAGTAATAAAATAATACAAATAAAACATAATTTTATTATTTTTATTTTATGTTTTATTTTTATTATTTTATTACTTCCCTTCTACGTGACTTTACCAAAAGAACCAAGAAGATAGAAATAAATACTTTTAGTCCATCGACCTATGGGCTTTGCAGACCAATGTCATCCAATATTATTCAGCATAACTTGTGTAAGTGAGCAACCTATGGACCGATTTTGACCTTCTGTGTCTCATTAGCAGAGCTCGGCTTGTTAAACACTTCTCTGGGTTATCAGGTGTTTATCGGCCAAGTGATCTTTAACTACGGGGGTCCTGTTCAATGCAAAAACACAATACCGTATAAGCTCATGCGTTGATGTGGAACATTATGTGCAGCATACATACAAGATTACTGATCTCTTTATTGTTTTACGAAAATAATATGTCCTCAAGTAGTGGTTCACCATTACACCTGGAGTACTTTGTTGACTGTGATTTCACTTTCCCTCGAAAGACCTATGACTCACTCCAAGCATGGCCTCTTCCCCAATGGCAAATGCTATCCTTGTGCGAGTTAAAAACAAAGACAACTATCTCCAGTATAGCCTTAACAAACGGTTGGGGCAAGTGCTGTTAGCGAGCACCTATGAAGGCCAGAACGGCACACAAGGGGTGGGTGGCCAGCACCACGCCCGACCGCCTTTGGCTCTCCAGTGACCACATTTACACACCGCACAAGGTACTCATTTGAGGCTGAGTCTACCTAGGGGAGGCCCAGGACCGGTTCGGATAATCGTCCCTGATTTTGGCCGTGAGCGGGAATCGAACTTGAATCGCCGGGTTCGTAGCGCAGCGCGCTAACCGCTGCACCACCGCTCCCCACTACACAGAGGCAGCTTCCAAGCCACCCACACAACTGGAAAGAACCCCGAAACAAATGTGATGTTTTTTTCTTCAAGCGATGAGTCACCTGGAATCGGGCCACCTAGAATGCTCTTCCGATATGTTCAATGTGAACAAAACACATTCCTTCGGATGGAGCTGGTAGGAACGTTGGGTTGCTCAGTCAATGGCCAGGGTCAACGGCGGCGTGGTGTATTCCGCAAATATGCCCGACTGTGAGGGCGGGCACAAGCCGGCGTGACTAGGTTAAACGTTGAGTTTTATAAGGGCACCACGGGGTGACCAGCCCCTCCCCACCCAGCCCCCCACCCCCCACCCATCCCCACCCTCCCCACCCAGCCCCTCCCCACCCTCCCCACCCAGCCCGTCCCCACCCTCCCCTCTCCACACAGCCCCACTTCCATTTTTGGATGCACAACGGACGGACGGAAACAATAATCCCCTGTGGGCTACTGTAACCAGGAGGTTCCTACCAGTATAAGCATGTCATCATGATCATCAGACAAGGAACATCAACCATCGGGTGATCTCCGGTCATCCTCGCAGCGGATTTTGGCGAGCCATCGAACAAAGACGTTCACTGCACCGCACTTTCAGATGCGCTTCTGTGGCTGTCTGGAACGCTCTTCCTGCCCATAATAGGAAGCCACTGTAGCTATGCACTTTTAAATCTAGATTGAAAACTCAATTCTTTAGAATTGCTTTTCGTGTTTCATTTGTTGGCCTTCCCCCGCGCCTCCGGTTAGCATGGCTGGCTACGTAGGGTGTGAAAAGAAGTTCAACATACATATATACACACTAGCTTGTCAGCACCAGAGAAATACTCTTACGTATATCGACATGCTCTCGTGTGTTTTTTTCTCATCGCACTCACTTAACGTGCAGTAAAAAAGAAAAGTAGACCGACCAATTTGGTCGACATTGATCACAACCGCGGATTTTAATGAGGTGCAAAAGTGTGAAAAGTTTGCCTTTTTCTTTCATACGGATCGTTACAACAACACACCGATTGATTTGAATGTGCATTCTAGAGCAGCGAAGCACGTAGACGGTTTGTGCCTAAACATCCACGACAGTTGCTAAGCTCTGTAGGCTATGCCCGGGTAGACGTAGCAGCCACCGTGTGACCCAAAACTCGCACTCCTCGCCACCCAAATGACGAGATTGACCTCGTGCCCCCCGCACCTCCTATGAGCACGATCGGCTACATACGGTGCGAAAGAAGTTCAACACACAGACACACTACAACCTCCCTGTGGTCCTGCACACTGCGCTGTTAGCGAGCACCTATGAAGGCTGGAACGACACGAGGGGATAGGGGCCAACACGATGCCCCATCCACCTTTGGTGCCTGAGTGCTGATGCTCACACACACGCGCACTGGCACCAGGCACACTTTGCTGATGCTCACACACACGCGCACTGGCACCAGGCACACTTTGCTGATGCTCACACACACGCGCACTGGCGCCAGGCACACTTTGCTGATGCTCACACACACGCGCACTGGCGCCAGGCACACTTTGCTGATGCTCACACACACGCGCACTGGCACCAGGCACACTTTGCTGATGCTCACA